TTTATTACAAGAAATTTCAATTGATTAAAATCGGAGATGAAAGTAGAGTCCAAGAGTTTTCAAACGACAGGTCAAATACCTAATTTGAGCAAAAAGAGAAGAAATTAAAAGTGTTTGAAATCAAATTGTCCAGGTAAAACCGCTGGAGATGCCGCTCCACCCTTCAGAGCAACCGCTCCACCTTGACTTAGGAATTTTGGCAGAAGCTATGGAGCGACCACTCTAGAGCCCTTGTTCCATAATGGTTTTTTGTTCTTTGTTTGTTTGATTTTCTTGTTTTTAATCTTGGTTATTCTTGTAATCCTAGGGTTGTAAGTTTATGATCTCTAGGTCTGTTTGTAAAGCCCTATAAATTGGGGTGAGCTTGTTGTTTTGAGGGACTTTTGCTTAATTTAAATCTAATAAGATTTTTTTTCTCTCTCTCTCCTTAATCTTAATGATTATTTGATATCTTTGTGATTATATTGTTTCTTTGTAATCTTTATGGTTACACCTTAATCACAACTTTTTTGGTGTTGTCTTTGATTAAGAACCCCTATTTCATAGATTTTGGTCATTGATGGGATATATTTATCTTGTGTTGTTTCATTGGAATTGTTGTTATTAGTTAATTCATATCACATTCAACCTTAATTAATTTATTCAAAGTCGTTAGATTTTAAGGTGAAAGAGGAACTCCATAAACACGCAAGACTAAATAATTTATTCAAAGTTGTTAGATTTTAAGCACTTAGTAAATCACTTTTAATTTCTTTTCTTGTCAAAAAAACTTTAATTAATAAATTAGTGTTGCTTGATCATATTAAATAAAGATAATCAATTTATTCACCTAGTATTCTTTCGTTAATGAAAGACTAGAACTTGAAATTAAATTATCGTCTTATTTACTTAGAGGTCTATAGAATCCTCCTCCTTCTCTCTCTCTATAGACCTCTAAGTAAATAAGACGATAAAACCTTGTCATGCAGGCATGTAACCCTAGGCACCTAATCTATATATAATTATATTATACTAGATAAAGCCCGTGCGATGCACGGTTTGTTTGTATTTTTTAAAGGAAAAATTAGAAATAATAATCCCAACTTTCATCAATTTTGGTAGAATAATCCCAATTTTGGATTATTCTGTAATCCGAACTTTGGGGGGTCTTCTTTTTCTTCAATCCCAAACCGGTCAACAAAAGTCAATGACCTGTTATAACAGGTTATGTGCCATGTGTCAAGCTGTAGTTGGTCCAAAAAAAAGGAAAACTTTTATAAAAAAAATTTTTTTTTAAAAAAAAACAAGAAAACCCAGAAAATAGTAACCCCCACCGTAACCCCTACCTGACCACCGTAACCCCCACCACCACCACCACCACCACCTACCACCAGCCGTTCGCACCGATCCCTCCCTTCCCCTGCCCCAATGCTGCGTTGCTTTCCCCCCAATCCCCTTGTGCTGGTGTTGCGACCCACCTCCACCCTCAATCCCCTCCTTTACTGATTCGATTTTCCGCCAACCACAATCAAAACTCCGTTTAAACCTCTCCAACCATTCGAAACACCCTCGAAACCCCTCCCCCACTTCCAAAAACCCCCAACAGCCACTTCCTCACCGTCGAAAACCCTAGCCGCTAGGGTTTTGGGGGTAACCGGAGTGGTGGTTGGAAGTTTTTTGAAATGGGGGAGGGGTTTTATTGGCGGTTGCATAGAGGTTTTGGGGAGGGGGACGGTGGTTTAAAGGGAACGCCGGAGCGGCAACTCTAATGGTGGGGGAGGAACGACGGTTCGGCGAGAGAGGTGGTTGGGCTGGCCGGGTTGCCGGATTGGCTAGGTGGTTGGGGCTTTGGCTGGGTGGATTTTTTTTTATATATTTTTAACCAATTAATTTGTGACACGTGTCACTTTAACCCAAAAAAAAAAAATTAACCCATTGAACCGGTAACCGGTATTTGGGATTGAAGAAAAAGAAGACCCCCCAAAGTTGGGATTATTCTACCAAAATTGATGAATGTTGGGATTATTATTTCTAGTTTTTCCTTTTTTTAAAACAAATGATTTTGGTCATTTTATTCGTTGTACGTCGTATATTATTTAATATCTTTATTTTAAAATAAATTGTAAATATCCTCTCATTCGTTATATATTTAGATAAAATTCCTAATCTCAGAAGATAATATTTTATTTTAATTAATTTAAACTTTAAAATCTCGATCATTCGCCAATTTTGCTTATATGGCATATGAATTATTTAATTCTAAAAGAAATTATAAATCTCTTATTTAATTGGTTATAACTAAAATTTATTATCCTAATGGCGCGTTAAGAAAATTTAACCTAACGTGGCTCTCTAAAAACTCGGGATAAAGCTCCATTTTAAGTTAAGAAAATATATATATTAGTTTTGTGCTCGAGCGATGCCCAGATAGTTGATAAAATTTTAAGATAACATTTTTTACTTGGACGTTAAATACGGTCAAATAAATATTTAGACATACGATATCATATGGAGTGTACTTTGTAGAGTTTTGTTTGTAAATAGATATCTATGTTAATTGACTTGAAATTATTTTTATTGAACATAAATTATTTTCACTGAGCTGAAAGTATTTTTACCAAACTAAAATGATATTTACTGATTAAAAATTATTTTACTGATTATCTAATTTTTTTTTAAAAAATAAATCAAATAACAATGCATTTTGTATGTGGCTAACCACACCATATGGCCAGGCAAAGTAACCCCTATAAAACTGATCGAGTAACTCCTGTAATACTAACTGATCGAGTAACCTCTACCACTGACTTAGTAACCCTTATCTATAACACTGATTGAATAACCACTATAACACTGACCAAGTAACCACTATAGGACTAACGAAGTAACTCTGATCTTGTAATAGTTGGTGACAGGGTTTGACTAGCTACGTATAAAAGTTTGTGACTAAATATATTATAAATGGCTCTTATTTTAACGAACTTTTTAAAACGAATTTGATGATGGAAATAGAATTGAGTTATAGGATATTTATCAAAAGTTATGATTAATTTTATATATATAAAATATTAGAATTTTATCGATAATAAAACTCTATGCAACAATTTTATCTTATAAAATCTATTCAAAAATCGCTCACTTAGCATCATATGTGTCGCAATAATACCTATTTATCTCCTACGCAGCGCGACACTTAGCAAAAATCTGAAATGCCAAGTATCGCTGTCTCGTAATCTGGCTGCGAGACTGACTTTATTTATTAGTAATATATGATATATTATATTTAGATTAGAGAGCAAGCTCAAAACCCCTCCCCACACTCCATATGGCCGCCTAGCTAAGGGAAGACCCAATATGTGCCTTCCCTCTTATGTTCAACCTACATCACAGTGTGACCTTCCCCTCCCCTTCCGCTCGCTGAAATACACCCTTTACCCGAATCCCCCTTCCTGCCCTTCCCCCACCGCAGAATCCGTCTAGGCCCTCTTTCCCTGCCCCCGAAACCTCCCCTAAGTTTATGACCATGATTCACAAAACAAGAGTCAACAAAGCGGCAACACCAAACCCTCAAGAATGCCCAGCAAATGCCATCTTATTACACCTTCCGTTATCCACCCACAATTTCTTCCGTGTCTCTGACTCCTTATTAAGCAACAAAATCGTCGATTTCAGCAAACCATGATGTACATACCCACCGTCAAACATCTGCATTCCAAGTCGATATTCAAGCACTAACTTATTATCCGATTTTTTAATTAAATTAAGACCGCGAATAGCGAGAACGATTTCACGATGTTGGTGATCAGCATATGTAATGTAAGTTGGAGCATGACCTTCAGTTTCTTCATAGGTGACCAATTAATGAGCCAATCTGGGTTTAGTCGGTAGCAACTAGGTGGGGCAAATTAGGGGTTACTGAATACTGATACCTAGTTCATAAACATCAAGGATGACACGACAAAGGCGAGGGAGGAGGATTTAGGCGTATTTTGTGGTGGGGGTAAGGCGGGAAGGGGTTTTCGGTGAAAGGTGAGTTTTCCAGCAGGGGGAAGGGTATTGGAATGTACACATCGAATTTGTAATTTTGGAGGGGTTTGGAATGTACAAAATAAATTTGTGTCGTTTACACGTAATGCTTTGCTGGACTAATGTGTTGAGATGGATCGGAGTTTCACCGACACACCTCCACCAATTAAGCTTTCTCCACCGTTGAAGCTTCCTCCTTCTGCCCTCCTCAATCTCCACCCACCTTCCAGCAACGCTTCCACCGACAACCCCACCATCTCTGGCGTCTTTGGCGCCTAATTTAACGACAACCCTATGAAAAGGGTGAAATTTAGGGCATGGTTATCCCTAAAGGGTAAGGGTGTCCATCACCCCATGCTGTGAAGAACAGTGGTGGTAATGATGGGTATCGGTGAGCTAGCTAAGGGGAAAGTAGGTGGTGACATTGATGGGTTTCAGTGAGCAAATGAAAGATGGAGGAAGGTGTCGGTGGTGGGTTTCATTAGAGGAAGGGGAAGCTTGTTTTGGGAAGAAAGATGAAGAGTTGAGTCAGCAGTTATGAGTCTACAATTTTATGACATGTCAAACGAAAGATCAACAAAATTGGTTGATTACAAAGATAAATTTGTATTTCCCCTTGTTTTCATTTTAAAGATTGTAATTCAATTAAACAATTTTGGTGGTGATGTGTTGTTGCTTTGCCACTGCAGCTTGTGCCTCCGTCTCACTACTATTTCTCTAGCTCTACCACAATGGCTCTTCCTTATGGAGATCGAGCCCAAGGACCTAGTGAAAAAAAAAAACATTTTCTATTAGAAACTGTAAAGGTTGAAAAGATTTCAGGACTTAGTATTACATAGCAAGTGCGTCCTTAGTACTAGATGAATGATGCTTATGTTCTTCCTTGCAAAGAGAGAAGCAGGGAACCTCCTAACGCAACGAAAACCTCTTTGCTTCACATACATTATAAACCTGTATGACAATCATTACTACACAACAAACGATCCACACACAAGTACACAATAGCACACTAATGGGACCATAATTATAATCAATATGAAAAGAGAAGTTTTTGCCCTCGTTAGCTTATGAAAGCTTATAAAATCAAACAGCAGCAATGAATTAAATCCATTAATATGACAAACAAAATTAAAGAACATTAACAAAATAAACACTTAACTAGGCAACAGAAAAATGTTCATCAAACCCGTCTATACAAAGGGATCATCCAAACATTACCAGGTCACCGGCCAAACCAGGCCCTCTGCTGTATTTCTCCATCATTCATTAACTTGTCTAACACAACATTTAGGTCAACTGACTGGCCATTTTCTGTAAGTTTGCGAACTGTTGCCCTAACAAGGTCCTTGGGAAAGCCCATACTTGTCACCTTATCGACAACATCATCAATGGGAACTCTGTTACCACTTCCTCCAGAATTTGATCCACCACCAAGCCCAGCAGCAGTAGGAATAGGTTGTGGTAAAATTTTAGCAGTGGGAAGCTGAGGATAATTGCTGCCACTCCCAACGGGGGAATGTGGTTGTGCTTTAATGGATGAGCCACTGCTATAATGTGAAGCAGGTCCACCATAAGGGTACTGTTCACCAGGCCCTGATGGTGGGACATAAGCAGATGAAATACCAGAATTGGATCTGCCAGTTGGTGGTGGCTCATACATAGAAGTAGGGCTTCCATAGTATGGCTGGGAGTGAGGTGGTGTACTGCTTGGTTGGGATGCGGACTGATGGAGATTCGGTGGGTAAGTCTGTGATGGAACAAATGGACTATCCTCTAGAAGATGTCCCAATGGAGGTGAAATGTGAGGAGTGCTAGCACCCACACCAGTAGAATGCTGTTGTTGAGGAGGCTGGGGATAAGGTGGGGTAAGGGTTGATTGATATTGTTGAGGCGGTGGAGCAAGAGCAAGGGACTGTTGCTGGTGCTGAGCTGGAGGCGGCATTTGATATTGTTGGCTTGGTGCTTCTTGAGTCTGGCTAGGTGGTGAGAAATAGGAATCTTGCTGAGGCCCAGGCGGGATGTGACCTGGTGGAATGTGGCCTGAAGGAAATTGAGTGGTCCCAGGGGGAGGATGACTGTGCTGCTGAGATGGTGGAGGAACATTAGAAGGGAGAGGAGCTTGCTGAGGAGCCGCAGCAGAAAATTGTGGGAGACCAGATTGCTGAGGAGGAGCAGAGGCTGCTATTTGCTGCACAGGATCTGGATGGAAGGCCTTCGGAAGTTCAGGTGACTGCTCTGCCTTAGAAATTTGCATTTTTGCTAACTGCATATGACCTTCCATGACTTCTTGTTTGTCCTTCAAATCATGCACACCATTTTGCACCTGCAAACAAAAACAAACAAAAAGCAATCATGAGGAAATCTAGCAAGGTCTCGTGACAATCAGAATCCAATAAATCTCCAATATCAATGGGGTAAGGGAAATAAAATTGCGTGCAGCCAACAATAGATAATTTTACAAAAAAAATAATAATAAGTGCATGAAAACAAAAAGAAAAGTGTCAAAAAAAAAAACCTATGCCATTTGAATTTGGCATTTCTCTACATCCTTGAATATAGAAATAGTCAGAAACACTCAAGACTCTTAAGAAACAGTTATGCAGTCTCTGTTCATTCCCCAAATCTTTCAACGCCAGTTTCAGAGTGATCAAACTCTGCACCTGAGATGTAAATATTACTACACATGCTACACATGTAACAGAAAATAAATGAGCACATATCTGGTTTCAATTTTTTGTTTCCAGCGTTCCAATTTACGATATTAGAGGGGACAGAAGATGGGAGTCACAAAGTAGGTAATTGCGTGAGGTTGACATATACTTGGCAAAAAAAATAATAACTACCTTCTTCGTAGTACAACTTGTCACTACTTGAAAAATTCTATTAGTTTATTATAGGGTACAATTAGAACTTTACTAAAGATTCGCAAAAAATAGTACGAGGACAAAGCGTCTCTTTAGACATTAGGAGTTTAAAAGAGTATATTTTAACAGGGAAGTAACTTGGTTAAGACTTGTAAGAGAATTATTTGCAACAATAGTCGTCCTAAAATGATCAAAAGTTACCCCAATATAAGTAAAATGTTAGCTTTATATAAATAAAGGTATCTATGCTTCATCGATAAAGTCATTCTCTTTAGATAAGTAAAAAATTAAATCTCAGTGTGTAACTATAATACTGTTACAAAACTTATCCCATTGCTATTTTAATTTATAATTATCTCTGCAAATTAAAAGTCAGCCCAAACAAGTTTAAAAGCTATAACAAATTGGCAAAAATTTACCTTAAAATTATTCGAGGTACACTAATATTAATGTAAAGTTTAAGCAAAAATTTGTGGGTATTAAGATATCCCATGTGTGTGATATGTATAGAGAGTCTTAGACTTCAGAGAACCAAAACTTATTTTTTAGAGTAATACAAGTGTAATATTTGCTAAAAATATCCACCAAACTTTTAATCCATTGTTGTTCTTTAACCACACCATTATCTTACACGGTTACACCCAATCACTTTTTCCAAACTAACCAACAAATAATAGAAAAAACTAAAGACATAAACTCCAACTGCTCCCATTCGTCCAATTTAGCATACTTAAAGCGTACTAAAGATGGATAGAGAAGACCTAGATCTAATATTGAGGGCAATTATATCAAAAAAAAAAAAAGTGAAATGATGGGGCTTCAAGTCACAAGGCTAAGGAGAGTTGAATGCCATGGATGTTGCTTTAGCCAGTAGTCTTCTCCGGCGACCTTTGCTTTTCAGTTATGGGCAATATGCCACTCGTTCTCTTTTGTTCTCTCTCTCCGCCCACTACCTTTTTTGTTTTTTTTTTTCTCTCTCTCCTCCCACTACCTTCCTTTTATTCCTAATCTCCCTCCTATCTTTCATTTGGCAACAGGGCCATCAAGATCATTTTACTTTAATTTTTGGTAGTCACATGAATCTCTGTCAATAGCTAGCTAATTGGGCTGGTATCCTAAACCGCTACAAATTTTTTATTATTTTTTGTTATACTTCTATTAAAACAGAACCTACAAACATGTATTTACTATGGTAATAGAGAAACATGTATTTATTTGGTAAGACATACATTATTTGGAAACAAAAAGGTGTTACTCCTTGTGAGTTTTTTTAAGTGCCAAGTCACTGTTACATTTATCAAGAGACGAAACTTTGACCAATGATATTTTTAATTATAGATAATATAACTTATAAGAAGTTGATATTTGGAAACCATACATTGAGAAGATTATAACAAATACTCATAAGACTAATATCTTTAATCTTATATATGAATCACAAACATGGATCAAAGAGATGTATGTGGATCGTGAAAAAGTCAAACTGAGCAACTAAAAAAACGAAGGGAGTATTAAAATAACTTATAAACGAATTAAGTATTACTCCCTCCATTTTAAATACTTGCTCCATTTCTCCATGCGCGGAGTTTTAGGAGAAATTAATAAAATATAGAGGTAGTGGGGTTGGTGGAAAAAAAAAATTGTAAAAAGCAAAAGTAGTTGAAAGAATATACAATTAATAAAATATGATTTATGTTGGGTCCACTAGTTGAGAAAGATGAATTAAATATTGTAAAATCTTTCCAAATAAGGAAATGGAGCAAGTATTTAAAAATGGCCGGAAATAGAAAACGGAGTAAGTATTTAAAAATGGAGGGAGTACTAATTTGCACATTATGACCCTAAAAATCGTATTACTCAAAAAAAAAAAAAAAAAAAAAAAAAAAAAAGAAAAAAAATTATAATTCTCCTACCTAGCGTAGTGCGATTTCATACTCGATCTTTGTATTAAGACATACTACGTATTAGGTAACAAGAGCGCACAAGATTTTAATTAGTTTGAAAATACTCCCTTCATTTAGCTGAATGTATACTAAGTTAGTGTAATTACGCAAACCAAAGAAAAGTGAAAATGGGGACCATGCATGTGGGTACTTTTGAATTAAAGTGGAGAGAAACAGAGAGTATGAGATTTATTGAATAAAATTGGGCCTCAAAATGTGGGGTTGTGGATGATACAAAAATGAATATAAGTTGTAATAAAAAGAACAAAGCAAAAGTGAGTATAGCTTAAAAAAACGGATGCAAACAAAAAGTGGGTAGTACTTAGGAAAATGGAGGGAGTAGAAAAGAGGAAAAATTACAAAGTTGTCCATATGATTGTAAGTATAATAAAAGCAACTAGTTTTACAAAAGTAAGGGAGTATTATATTTGAAGAGTGAGAAGATATACTTCGTATATATGTTCGAGAAACATTTGTGTGGGAACATCTTTACCATCATAAGACTATTGTTGTGAGTCACTACAAGCATGTGACCTATCCCAGTTTTTCTCTTTCCTTGGCCCAACCTAACTAGAAAGTGTTCAAATCATGGTAAAGTGGTCTTATTTAAAAATTTGTATTATCCTAAAATGAGTACGTTGCAATTAAAAAAAAAAAGAGGGGGGCATGTTGCAATATTTGTGAAACTTCCTAAATACGTAAATGTTGCAATATTAAAGGAACGTCTTAATTGTATTTAATGATGAGAAAATTATAATTTGCAAAGATTAAGAAGCTTTATTGTATATATTAGCAACAAAAGACACAAAAAAATTCAACAATAATAATACGACAGCAATCCATATATTGGGACCAACAACATTAATCCAAAAAACAATGGCCCAAAAACAAAGAAATTATGTTAAAGAGAGTAGTAAATACCTCTAAAAGAATGTTTTCCAGTTGTCTCATTTTCCCATCAGTGCTCCCATGACTATTGCCAACTGATATCTTCAACTCATCAACAGAGTGTTCGAGATGGCGTGTTCTACTCTCCAGCTGGGACAGCCGCGCACTTAGACCATCAATGGCATTCAGGACACTGTCTATATATCTTTTCATTGTTCGATCAATCTCAGATACAATTGCTGAATCAGTTACTTTCTGAGATTTCTCAAAAATCATTCTGTCAGGTTCAACATGATCCACGGAATTGTAGCTCTGCATTATTCATAACGGCAAAAAGCCACCAAAAGAAAGAGTTACTAACATTCTCGAGTTGAGGAAAAAAAAAAACAAAAAGAAATGAAATTCGATATTTTCTACATATTACAGCTTAAATTAAGCACATTCTTCCTGGGAGACTAGATACTTCAAAATTTCATAAATCACCCTTTGCAATTGTTTATAAGCTCCCAATATCTCAAGAGGCAATACTCAGTAATGCCTTATTGTAATATTGCTTTTTTAAAACTCCTTTTCCATTACCCATTCTCCCTCCTCCTCACATTCAACGCCCAACCTTTAATGCCAATATCTAACAACCCACAGGCATGCAGCCAAACCATAGAGCAGCTGCTGTAGTTTACCATACATTGCCCCCCATGAGTGGCCAAGACCTGCTATTTCCTTTCACCAAGGTCAGGGCTGGGAGGGGCAGCAACAGTAGATAAGGGAAGGGGTAGTCAAACACTCAGAAGGGGGTAAGCATTGGTGGAGGCCAGCAGTGTGCCAGCATTCGAAGAGAGACAAAACTGTAGGGGTGCTCGTACAAAGGAGATGGCTGGAGGAGGCGGAGGAGCAGCAGCAGTGTATTTTAAAATAAGACCATTACATTTTGTTACTCTTTATACAATGAACCTATCTGGTTATTTTTCATACAACAAAGCTTCATTTAAGCAAGTAACTTCAAGGTTACTGGTCTGCAATTGGACAAATTAAATTTATTGATATATAAACCTTAAAATTCCTTATTAACACATCTCCTATTCTCCATCCTGAATTTTTTTATAAAAAATAAAATACATTGGTTCAACAAAAATCCTTAATTGCACACAAAAGTGGTTACATGACTGCATGATATGCATGGCAGTTAAAAGCAAAGAAGAAGAAGCATGATATCTCTCTTTCTCCCTAAACTAGCCATTACCATTTCATATACAGTCAGTTCACTGGAGGTTTTTTTCACTACATATGAGTTCAGCGATAAACATAAGCCTCCTGTCAGTTATCTTACAGCTCATTAGATGGTCTACTGAAGTTATTCGATTGGCTTTGCCTCTTGATTCTTACAAGACAAATCCAAGAATTAAATACACCAAATAGTAGAAAAAAATATAACTCAAACTAGTACAATTTTTCATGCACTGGTCAACAAGTCACCATAGGCTGCTGATTCTATCTTCTGCTCCATATGATCGTAAATATCCTAACTTGTTTGGCAAAAGAAGAAATTGAAAATCTCCAAAGCATAGCGATAAGGCACACAATATAATCAATCCATTTGTCACCCACCTTCTACAACCAATTCATGCAATTTTTCTATATGATATATATCACCATCCCACGCTTCAATCAATCAATCAATCAATCAAAGCCTTAATCCCATAAGTGGGGTCAGCTACATGAACCAAAAATGATAATCCGAATAGTCATCCCACGCTTCAATCCTCAATAATTTTCAAACTTGCAGTTTATGTAAATTTACAAATTGCAATAAGCTTAATTCCTAAATTAAAAATCCCCACATAATACAAAAGCTGAATGATTTCACAAAACATACAAAATTGCAGTATATCCCCAAATTCGAGAGGGAGAAAGTTTCTTTAATAATCTCGTTGCAAACCTCTAACCTACGATCGATTCCGGCCATAACTTAGAGATTACACATAACAAATTTCATATGCACTCACTAATTCCCAAACCCCAGTGAACAAAAAACATCCACAAACAAAAATAGAAAAAAATTCGCATAGTTTCCATCATTCATCCTAAAATTCAGATAACAATACAAATATTGTCAATCAAACAAGAAATTCAAAATTCATCATACAAAAACCTCAATCAATCAACTGAACAAGAGAATAAAGAGAGAAATCATACTCTAAGAGGGGTAGAATTGGACTTAGAATCGAGGGAATTCCAAGACTTAATGCTAGAAGCGGTAACAGGCGGAGGATCAGCGACGGCAGGGCGATGAATTGGCTGGAAATCGTAGTTGGGTAAAATCTCATCATTGGTATTGTTCAACGAAGATGGTCGAATATCATTGGTACCCTCTTCTTCAGATTGTGGATTCATCAGATCTACGAAATCGTGGGAATTGGTATCATTGTTGTTGAGGTCAGTGTTCTTTGATCGAGATAAGTCCATAATCTGTTTGTCCATGAAGTTTGACGCATTCATCGATGCAATCAATACACAAAAGCGTTAAGTAGAGAATGTGTAAATTTAGATGGATGAGCTTGGAAGATACAAACAATGGTGGAGTATTTGTTTAATCAAAGTGGGAGAGAGAATGATCAACAAGTGAATGAATTCTTTCTAAGGTGAGTGTGGCCTAGCGTACGAGGCTTGTTTTCACAAAACAGACCCTATCTGGCTATCTAGAGGTCGATTCCGGTGTTTAGATCGGTTTGGAGAAGGCGAGTAGGGTCGAGACAATTTTTAAATTTGAGTCATGTTAAATTATTATATCCATGCGAGTCAAAATTTGAATCGGATTCGGATATTTTTTGGGTCAATTTTGGATTGGGTCGTGTTTAGGGTAAAAATATCCCATCACGTGGACCAATCCTATAGTGACACGTGGCCCAATAAAAGGACGACACGTGTTCCAATAGGAAGATGACATGTGGCAAAACATAAGGGCACCTAAAAGAGAGAATACCCCCTTACATTAGTAGGCCCAAATCCCGAGAAAGGTGCCATTACGGCGCCCCCAAAAGACACGTGTCTCTACCTGATTGCGTCACCAATCAGTGCACTCCTTTTTAGGGCACCAACCCTAAAATACACACATTCCCACCCCTATGTATACGCCAATCATTTATGATGGGAGGGGTGGATTGAGACATCTCATTTAAGGCACATTAAATTGTTCTAATTTCTCTCTACTTTCTCTTTCTAAATATTTTCGTTTTCCGATCACTAACTTGATCGTTGGAAGCGAATATTCCGTCAAATGGAATATTTGTTGTTTTGCAGGTGTTTGCGGTTGTCCGGTTATATTCACAACCTGTATCCCGAGAGATTCCAAAAAATCCCGATACATTTGACGCCGTCTGTGGGGATACACGTCTGAAATGGCTAAAAACTGTCAGACACCCGATCCTAGTGACGACAGACATGTAGAGAATGTTGAAGTTAACATCAACAACAATGATCCTCTAGCTGCCTTGTTCCATGAGGCCGAGGATCCTCCTGTAACGGTTGACTCCTTATAGGCTACTATGGCTAAGCTCCGAAAAGAGTTTGAGGGCAAGATACCCTCTTCTTCTAGGCAGCTACCCAGGAAAGACGAAGATGGTACTAAAAAGAAACCCCATGCCAAGGCGGCCAATACTGAAGATATGGAAGTTACTCCATTTAGGAGGCAGCCGAGGTCCCTAGAGTGCCTCGGACGAACTGGTCGAGGCTGCCAAATGAGTTGTCCCAAGGCTTCAAGGATGCTAGAGACTATCTTCGGCACATGCGGCAAGAGCGAGCCTAGTCCTACTACTCGGACACTGCTTCCACCCCCACTATGCCGGATGAAATGTCAAATCATACCCTCTCCAAGCATACCAGCTTGGCCAGTAGGAGTCAAGCTCATTGTAATCAAGCTCCAATTCCTTTATCTAAACCAGCTCAGTTTCAAGTGCCCCATAATTATGGTGCAATTCTGCCGCCTACTCCCTCAGTGTACGGGTAATATGGAAAATTGTACGGCAAGGTAGCTTACCTTAGCCTATTGATTGGAAAATGCGCTTGTTGACTCTTGGTGACAAATCGCCTCCGTTTTCTCAAGAAATTCTCAACTCTCCCTATCCAGCTAAGGTGAAAAGTGTACTTGTGGGTGCCTATGATGTTATGAGCAATCCTGAAGAGAATATCTCCTCGTACAGGAATCTAATGTACTTTCAAAATGTGGATGATGCCACATGGGGAAAATGCTTCCCGGCCACCCTCAAGGGTATGGCTCAAGAATGGTTCAATAGTCTTCCGGCCGAATGCATAAATTGTTTCACAACTCTAAGTTTGCTATTCGTTGGAAACTTCTCCTAATATATACCACCCCGGAATACTAGTCTTAACTTGGCAACTATTGTCCAAGGGAAGAAAGAGGGGTTGCGTTCGTACGTTTAGAGGTTTAACATAGAGAAAGCGCAAATTTAGAATTTGCCGGATGAAATAGCCTAGTTGGAGTTTCTCCGAGGATTAAGGCACAATGGTTTTAAGTTTGATCTGTTCAGGAAAAGGATTCGGACATACGCAGGTGTTCTGCGAGAGGCTGAATAATATATTGAAGCAGCTGATTTCTGTTCACTGATAAAAGCAGAGGAGCCGCCCAAGGGCGCCGAGAAGAAACCCTCTTCTCAGCAAGACTCGTCCGGCAAAAAGAAAAAAGGAAGCAACAAAAGAAAGGAAGTCTAGGTGGCGGATTGCCAACAGACCAAGTCCAAGAAAGCCAAGACCTACTGAAAGGAATAGTGTCCTTCGAACAAGTGTATTATTTTGATAAAGGGTTCAGAAACAATTACGGAGTATTCAGTGAAGTCAAGTAATCGGAAAGTCGGACTAGAGGCCATCTCCGATATGTGAGATTAATTATATTAATCTCACATCTTTCCTTTAACTGAACCCAACGGGTCACACCCAAGCGTGCAACCAAACTAAGGCGATAAATTAAGCCGAAGGATTTAATACGTTAAACAAAAGGATATGTATTCCGACGTCAAATTATGAGCTTACAGTGTCGAAGTCGAACATCGAACGTCGAGTTAAATTCTAGGAATGAACGAGACGAACAAATAGTAGCTCAGCAGCGAAGCAGCAGCCCGCGTGCTGCGATGGGCCTAGGTTGGCATGCCCAGCCGAGAGCATAAGGCTGCCAACATAGGCAAGCCTTGCTGCTCAAGGCAGCCGCCAGCTATCCGCTTCTCATTGGACCCGGTTTTGGCTTAGCGAGCAAGGAGGGCCTTGTGGTCCTCACCTAACCCTCCCATGCTTGTGCCTCTTGTTGTTTGATTATTTGTTATTTGCATTTTAGTTTATTTTTGAATCAAATTAAATACATTTATCTCTCAACTTTGCAAAGTCGCACATTGATTGGAAATCAAGGAGATAGATATGCTTCAATTATCCTATAAATACCCAAGGCCTCCCTTTGGAATTCTTGCAAGAATTTAACTCTAAACAAGGCATCTCCATTGAGAAAACCTTATAAAGAGATCCTCTTGTTAGTAGTGTTAATATTACCCTAGCCGATAATATTAGCCAAGTTTGGGCGCGTGGGTGGACCACGTTGGAAGGTCATGTTTGAGGCTCTTTCTCTGTTCGTGAGTTCGTGTTCGTGCTAAGTGCAAAACACGCATCAAGGGTACGATCGTCTTTTCCTCTTTCTCTCTCTATATTATTTATGTGTTTATTGTTTAATTAATTGCATGCATGTTTAGTTGCTTTAATTTATGCACGGATCTTTGGGCGGATTTTGTTTTCGCGCTGTGTAGGACACCGCAAAACCAAACAGCAGTATCCGAGCCACGTGCATTTAATTATTGTGACTAATAATCAATTAAGGTGATTTAAATGGATTTAAATTTCTGGTCTGGCAACCTAATTAGATTAGGATTTCGTTTTTCATTAGATTAGAATCGTATTTTTTGCTATTTTTTGCCTATGAACCCGGATTTTGACTCAAAAATAGTGAATTTTGGGTGGAATTAGAGGGTGACATGTGTCACCTTAGGAGAGGTTCAAAATAAACCAATCCTTAGTTGACACGTGGCACTCCCAATCAGTAGGAAAAAAGACGGCCTAATTCCCGAGAAAAGCTGTAAAACGGCGCAGCCTTCCAAATCTAGGTCAGAATGACCTAGGTAGGGGCACATTTACCAACGACCCTATAAATAGGGAGATTTCCCCCATCTTGGGGACACGTTCATTTATTACACACAATCAATTATCTAACATCAGAGAAAAAACCTGATCTCGGGATCCGAGAAGATCTACTTTTACTTTCCGCACTTTTTACATCACTCCGAACACTTTCTAACTTGATTGTCGGAGGCGGAACTCCGAACGCCTGGAGCTTCCGTTGTTTTAAAGTTACAGCCAGCGGGAAATCAATCTTGGTGACGTAACTCTCCTGAGGGACATAAAAAACCTCGAAACATTTGGCCCCGTCTGTGGGGAGAGTACCTCTAAGATAGTTTCTCAAGAGACTGTACTGCCTCCTGAGAATAAGTAGCCTACGGCTGAGGTCTATTTATACCATGATACGGAACCATAGGTCGAAACATATACCACCGTAGATGGATCCCTCATTACAAGGCACATCCGTTCCAAGGTTAAGAATGTCATGGTGGGTACTTACGATGGTACCACCAACCCAGAAGAACACTTGTTGGCATACACCCACCTCATGTACTTGCAGGGGCTAGATGACGCCGCATGGTGCAGGTGTTTCCCTACCACGCTGAAAGGCATTGCCCAACAGTGGTTCGACAATTTGCCAACTAGGTGCATCAACAACTTTAGGACGCTTGCGTTCTTGTTCGCCTCAAACTTCTCCATGAACATACCCACCAAAAAGACAAGCCTTGACTTGGGCGTAGTACAACAGGGAGACAGGGAGGGGCTCCGCTCATATGTCAGGCGGTTTAATCTGATGAGAATCCAAATCCAAGGACTGTCTGACGATGTTGCTTACACAGACTTCTTCAAGGGTCTAAAAGACAGGTTGACTTTCAAGTTCAACCTCGTTTGGAAGAGAATCTCCACTCTTCAAGAAGCAATGATGGAGGTGGAAGCCTATATACAGGCGACCGAGCTTTGCTCCACCAGCAAGCAGTTGGACTCAAAGAAGTTCGAAAAACAAAAAAGGAGTCGGCAAGAACAGCCGGCTCACAAGGCTAAAGAGCAAGAAAAGAAAAGAAATCTGGGCGGTTGACGATTCTGATTAGCCTCCCTAGAAGAAAAAGAAAGAGTTTAAACCGTACGTCCCGAAGTACAAGTTTAACAAAGACTGCTACTCCATCCTTACGAAGATAAAAAACCGAGTGACTATTAAGAAGCCCGCAACAATGAATGGTCCGTCCAAAAACTGGAATAAAGACAAGTACTGCCACTTTATTGAGGATATTGGCCATGACACCAACGACAGCTATAGCCTCAAGCAGATGTTGGATAGATTGGCTGATAAGGGGGTGTTGAAATCTTACATCCTCAAGTCTAAGGTGACCCTGAAGACGGACCCCATACAACCGTAAAAAAAGCAAGCAAAGCCTACTAGTAATTTGGACACTGATAAGGAGCCGATCCACACCATAGCAGGCAACTTTGTTGGAAGGGGCTCGACAATCAGGGGATCAAAATGAAAGGAATGGTGTCC